AAAAAACTCAAGTTTTGTTTTGCAGGTCTGTGTATAAAACTGTACCTGGTTCGGAGCCTTGTCGTCCTTTACAAAAGTCCCCAATAGAGGGATTCTATTTAGCCGGTGACTACACAAAGCAAAAATATCTGGCGTCAATGGAAGGTGCTGTTCTATCGGGAAAGCTTTGTGCCCAGGCCATTGTGAAGGTGAGTGAGTTTTACAGTTTTACTGCTACTTTCCAATCTTAACTTAGAGCAATATGTATTATGTTGTTTGTGTGAAATAAAATGACCAAATGTGGTGTGTTTTTAATATAATTTCAGGATTATGAGTCCCTGGCTAGCAAAGAACAGAAAAAGCTGGCCGAGGCAACCATTGCGTAGGTTATAAAGAGTATGAATTTGGTAAACTTTTGCGACTAAATGGAGAACTCATTGGACGAAAGAAGATAGGGAAAGCTACACTAATCAACAAAATGTGGATAATAAAGGAGCATATGCATGATAAGATGATAGTTGTTTTGGGTAAAATTTTTGTGGTTAGATTTTTCTTGTGGTAATAATTGGCTGTTGTTGTAATATGCTGAACTTGAATCTCGTGTGATGGGAAATATTTGTTCTTGTTAAGATATAACAAAACGTTGCTGATTTGTGATGGGTTATGTGTCTGCCCCGGAATATCTTTGTATTTTTTTTTTCTTATAGTTATCTTTTGTTAATTTGGTTCGTAATTTGCTCATGATCAATTGGTATGTGTTTGGCAGTTAGAAACTTGATGCCAAAGTTAAAAAAATTGACTTCGTGCTGAGTTAATTTTGAGCTGTGATTGAATTTTTCTAGGTTACTCACACCCTAAGAATCCAAAATGAACTTTTTCTATAAAGAGATGGTTAACTAGCTTTTTCTAGAAACAGACAATATGGAAGCGAGATATCTGTTCTTTTACAAAATTCACGTATCAACGAAAAAACACTATCACGAGCAATTCAATTCTCTTGCCACATACGATTCATAAATACGTACAAGTTCACGTTTCAATTAGCTTTTTAAAACAACAAAATAAAGAAAGGAAAAAAGAAAACCAGTAAAATGTTTTTATGAAAAAAAAAAAAAAAAAATCTTGTGTGAGTCAGCGTCATACTTTTTAAACAAACGTGTATACTTACACTATCAAATGTCATACTTCTTTACATGTTTGTTTCTTAAAGTATGACATTTTCTAATGAAAGTATACATATTTATAAAAATAGCATGGAAAGACATTGAGATTGAAGTCATTTGTCAATCCAATCTTTGAAAACCAGCAACACATAAAGGGGAACATTGAAGGCAGCAATGGTGATTAATGCTCTCAATGCTCGAACTAATCTCCAGACTACCATTTTCGCTTTCGACCTATTTGTTCTAGCACTTGAACCAATATGTATACTCACATCTGCATTCGACCCGTCTACTTCTGGTGCCGTCTGTTTCCGAACTTTTGATCGCATCACGGCATTGCCCCTGCAAAAAAATTGAACATTTGGTTATTTGCACAAATACCCCCACTATTGAGGGAATTTACAATTTTCAAATTTACAAAGTTCCATAACATTACAGTGAAAATCCTACCTCTCAACCGAGGAGCCCTCGGTTAAGGATGTTTGTGAAACCTTTTTGGTTTTCTTGATAAGGTGCATAGACCCTTCTGCATCCCAAATCTCTTCGTACTCACAATTATCATCTTCGTTTTTCTCCTTCACATGACTAATCAAGCTGTTATACAGACTCCTGACAGAAACCGTTAGATTGCCGAACTTTCTGAAAATGAGGACTTCATTTGCTGGCCAAAGGAGGACAATAACAAGGGTCATTGCAAACAGAGTTAAATACCTGACACCATCCATCAGATTATATTTCAGTATATAATATTTCATAATGAGAAAAAAAAAAAGGATTAAACATAACAATTACCATAAATTTTATCAGTTTAACAATTCATATAATGGAAAATACCCCCCCTGTAATTGTTTCTATCTTATAAATTGACTCATCAAGACGAGGGTATTTGTAATACTGTTATAAGGGGAACTGCAATTATAAAAGATAACCGAACTGTATCTTTNGAGTACAGAACAGCGTAAATAAAAGGACAACAAAGAAGAAGCCTATTCCGAAAAATACCATATGTAGATATGTAATTGCATGGGAAGAAAGCAAAGGTGAGTGGATATATAATCTTCTTCTGAATTGGATCCATCTGCTTTTATTGAATTACTGACGGATAGTAACATGAAAGAAGGATACAAGTTGCCTTGCTGCCAGCTCACAGTTCCTACAGTATGCTGCATAATTCCGTAAAATTAATGCTAACGCCCATTATATATCATTCGGTATACAAGGGACAAAAGGACTCCGGAATTTACCTCAGTAACTGGACCGTGCTTATTATTAGACTTGTGGGTTACCGTGCATTGATCATGATCATGGCCAGAGAGGACTAGTGCCTGCAGATACATCATATAGATCTCGATTATTTCAGTTTTCTATTTTATCATGTGTAATGACGAAAAAAGAAAAAAGGTAATAATTAATACATACGGGTCTGATTTGGTCCAGGAGGGCATTTGAAGAGTTTTCAGTGATGTAATTCTGATACCTGCACAACACAATATATGTACAAAAAGTGACAATTTTTTTCTACTGTTTTGAGGAGGTAGATATTGCAAAATATTGAACAGTGTTGGTAGAGAATGAGAAAAAAGGTCGCTTACAGTATTTCTTGATCCCGATCTGCATGGTAAATTCGCTGGAATCAACGTTCATGCGCAAGTTACAAACATATATATACTAGAATTGGATGACAATAACATAACTATATACTGAAATAATACAAAGTATATAGATAAAGGTGATATCTTGGCATCACCTGATTGATGACTGGTGAATAACGAAGGGGACCACAGTGAGTCCAGTCTGGCCGGTATAAGGGAATGTGAGTCAATAAAACCCTTGGAGTAGAAGAAGTATCTGACAAATTTATATAATCTATTAATATATAAAGAGAGAATGATATTTATTTGAAATAGCAACTAAAAATCAGCAAAAACAAACATTTAGTTTCCCGCCTAAAGTATTTACTATATTGAGTAATATTTTTGGCAAAAATTTTAAGAAATCCTGCCTAAATTAATGTACAGAATCATTTTGGTCCAATATTGCGGCTATTACCTTTATTAGTTGCATGATTTAAATTTGGAATATAATATATTGACAAAACTTGCAGCTACTACTTTTATTAGTTGCATGGTTTAAATTAGGTATATAATATATTAAAAAAAAAAATTATTTAAAATTTAAAATAAAAAAATAATTATTCATACGTTATAGGTCAATATCAACTTGGACGAAAACAAAATAGTAAATTATTTATAGTTTAATAAATTACTCAATAACTTATGGGTCAATACTAACTTTGACGTAAACGAAATAGTCAATTATTTATAGTTTAATAAATTACTCAACTACCTAATTATTTTTATTTGAATAGTTTATACAAAGAAAATTATTTTAAGTAATGAAACAATAAAAATTTTATATTTATACTTATTATTCACATAGGTTGTTAAATATATGATAACATTTTACCAAAATAACTTTATTTTATGGAATCACATTATAGTTAAATCGAATTACTGAATAATAATTTTGAAATGATACTTATTTTGAAACGAATATAATGTAATTTTTTATCAGTTATGTGCACCACAGGGGTTGTGTACTAATTTTAAATAGACATTTTTATGTAATTTTATACAATTTAAACTTTATGTAACATTTTCAATAAATTAGTATAGGTAAGTGTATTACATATTGATTCCATATTTTTAATTTATAGATATTACTTAATAAGAATTATTAATTAATAAATATTAATGAATATCTCTTACCCGTGCATTGCACGGGACTCATACTAGTGTCAAGGACATCGTATTCTAAGCCAGAAAATATTCACAACTTGAATTCAGTTTTATGTACCTTCAGATACATTTTTTACAAATCTCCAGGTATCTGATGTGAAACTACCTTGTGGATGGCCTGTGGATAGAAGAAAAACATCAAGTGTTATAATATAGTGAATGCATGGTAGCAATCATAGATGGAGACATAACTTTCTCTTTGTTATCATTTTTTACAATTTTGTAAGTATTGTTTAATGTGATATATTAATTAGGTTAGAAAAATAGAAAACAAGGAGTGCCCCCTATATTATCTCATGCTTAAGTTCTTAATTGTATTAATCTTGCGCCCCTTGTAAAAGAATTATTGACCCATCTGTGGCTGGCAGCAATTTAAAACCACTCAATAGAGGATCATTTCCGCTTCTCGTGTCAATTTATAAACTGCTCAATAATCAAGTCCTGACCAGGACAGAGCATTATTTGTGTAGTTTTGTGGATATGAGCAAAAGTGTTTCACATTGCAGTAACTATCAAAGGCCTAAAAGAGGGATTTATGATTGAATTATAATCAGGGATACATAAAGCATTACCATCCAAAGTTTGTGCATCCACTGCAATGAAGTCCACTTTCCCGATTTTAACTTTGAAGTTCCTAGCACCAAATTCTCTGTCATAGCGTTTGACAATCTGCATAACAGAGGTGCAAAGATAGGATAAGAAAATATTGTAATCTACATCTCGAAAGCAACTGTATGTTCAAAGAATGCACATGTCTGATTGAGTAAATCCCATAAAAGTGAACTGATACAGCATTTGATGAAAAACGTACTGGACTCTACATAAAGTACAAGCGCTCATAATTTCCTAACAAAATTACATCTTGTAAACGAGGATATTTTGCAAATTGATTTAAGTGTGTGCAAAAAGTTTAAATGACTGAATAAAGTCTGCCAATGCGGTCCATCAGAAATTTGGGCAACTTTTTGCAAGGAAAAACTACAAAAACTCCAACCGTCCATAAATAATTTTTTGACCATATAGAATCACCAGCCGATGTCAAACATAGCACACAACATTATACCTCTGGCTTCCAAGAGATGAAAGCTGAATACCCAATGTCATGGTTTCCAGAAAGGTAGTATACTTTTAATTTCGAAGATTTCTGAAGCATATTCAGATTGAAAATATGTCTGAAACGGCCCAAAGATTCCTGCCATCTATAAATAGAACAAATTAGAAACTGTGATAGACAAGAATCGGATATATATGATATCAATGATACCTAAGACCATACATCTCTTAACGAAGTATAACTTTTTGGCATCAACAAAAATATTCAGAATAAAAGATTATTTTTTAATTATTTTCTATCAACTGAATTTATCAAAGATTATTTTTTAAATTTATCAACTAGAAATATGAAATAAGAAAAATACGGGGGTAAACTGATTGGCGTAGCTTACTAAAGTTTCAAGCTATTAGGGTAAATTGTGGATTCTTTCAGGCTACTAATTTGTCCGAAAACCACAGCATGCCTTAAAACCTAAGTCCTGGATTATTTATCAGATGGAGCATTAAAGAGCAACTGACATATAATATATAGTTCCCTACATACTGCTAGAACAAGTGTGAAGCAAAACATAACAATGAAATGTGAGAAAAATAGATAAGTACGAGGTGTACTCTTCATCCTGGATTATTACCAAACAAGTGCATGATCTAATAAATGTCAACAAATAGCACTCACTCATCATCTGACAGCTTGTATCCACCATCAAAGTAATCACCCAGAAACAAAACAACATCTGGTTTGAAAGGTAAGACAGATGAAAGAAAAGCCCTTCGCATGTATAAATCCGTGTAAAACTGAGCAATCTCCAGAGCAAGTGATTTTGGGGCAAGAGGCAGCGAAGTTTTATCCATGAGCTATCAAATAACAAGAACAATCAATATCAATAGATGTCCCACCGAGTTTGGGGAATAAATTTTGCACGGACAGTGAAAGTCCTATCTTCTCGAAAAGGTTACCTGGGGGTCTGTCACAACAGCAATCTTCACATAATCACTCGAAAAATCAACTCCATTCGGCTGAAAATTTCAGAAATACGAGACTTTGTTAGAACAGGTGCTTTCCAATTTTTATTGAAGAAAAGCACATCAGCTCATCATTGCATAGGTACATTAGAAATGCACAAATTAAGCAATTTGGTTCATACACATCACGGCAAGAGAAATTCAGTTGAAAAGCAAACCAACTATTAGTGAAATGAAGCTTCAGGCACTAATCCACTAGACAACAAAATTCATATGCCATTGGATTTCCCTTCGGAAAAAACAACGTGCGACATTCAAACTTAAATAAGAATGTTCTGAAATTCAAATCAATTGACAAATTATCAATAATATCATATTGTCGGAGGACCCAAGATCCAGACTTTATGCACAAAACCAACTAGTTCCAACAAAATAACAAAGCTGATCGATGGAATTAGACGTGAAAAAGAACAAGCGCAAAGAGAAGGCAAAAAAAAAAAAAAAAAANNAAAAAAAAAAAAAAAAATCGAAATTTGTTAATGGGTTTTTACCGAAGAAGTAGAAGAAGAGTGTTGAAGATGAGGCCAAGAACAGGTCCACAGTGAAGGCACCAAATATGCAAACCACTCTCCATAGAGTAAATTCAGAGCCCATATCATGCTCAGAAATACTGTCAAGTTCCAAATCATTTCGGGCCTTTTTCACCTATCTTGAGGTTCGCTGTTCTTCTGTGTTTCTTAGGTGCTCGCTTAGCTAAAGTTGAACTTGAACTCAGAGTCTAGATTGTTTTTCTAATTAAGTTATTTGATCCAAGTACTTTGTGACATCAACGTGAAGTACCAAATAATTTTGACTTTTTGTTGCCATTCTACGTTTTTAAAACGTTCATATTTATGAATTTGGTCCAAAAATAAACACATTTTGACTTTTTAGGACTGGGAATTGTGATAATTTGTTCATTCTTGTCATTATATTACAAAATCTTCATTTTTATTATCAATGAAATTGCGATAATAAAAGAAAAAATATGCAATTACATTTCCAGATTTCATCCTTGATTCTTGAATAGTCAAAGCCAGGCATCTCCAAAAATGCATCACTGGGACAAATGAGACATTGGTTTGCAGATGATTTGAAAGAGTAATCTTTCTATTATTTGCGCATCAAATTTCAACTAAACGTTATTTGGCATTTTGTTGTTAAGAGAGGAAAGGGGAAAATAGTAAATTCAATTGAGTGAGGTCTGTTTTGTTGTTTGCATTTCATTGAGAGTCGGTTTAATCCATTTAGACCATTGGATAAGAAAATTTGGTGCGACTTGAATTTATTAACAAAATGAATCATTTTTTTTTCTCAATGATGGAGAACATTACAATAACGAATGTACAAATACAATCGAGAGCCAACTGGCCCGGATCAAAACAAAGATACAAGAGAGTCACTCAATTTAAGTAGTCTACAACTTAACTAAATTAAGACCAGCCTCAGAAACAACGAAGACTAGAGGTAGTAGCAAGTACGGAAACCCCTAGAACTGCACAAAACACGTTGCACAAACACAGAAATCATAAAAAAATAAAAAAAATAAAAATAAAAATTAAAACAAATAAAGTGAAAGAAAAACTGTGCCCGTTGAACCATAAAGACATAGACCCCCTCCCATCCTCCTTCAACTTTGCAATGCCTTCCCATAAAGTCATGCCACTCAAGTAAAGTTGATTGTCAAATAGTTCTAACTGACATCCACACTATCTAAAACTTTCAAAGATTACGTGATTTCCATAATCACCATAAAATATAGGTGGTCAGTTGAATTCTTGCCTCAAAAGTCTCTTTGTGGTCCAAAGTGTTAACACGCCATCATCATTCTATGAAGTTGTCAGTAGACCTCTAAATTCTCTCCCAATTGATAGAAGTCATCCTCCATATACTCTTTGCTCTGCTGCAATAAAAAAATATGTGTTCAGTAGTTTCAACTTCCTCACCACGACTTTGACAGATGCAATCCACAAGGGCGAATCCAGATTCTTATGGTCTTATATGATAAAACATGTGTTCAGTAGTTTCAACATCCTCACCACGATAGAACGAAGCAAGGCCGTGAAAGCTACGAACCTCGGTAAAAGAAGTAGGAGTCGGCCAATCACGTATAGTTGCCACCTTGCTTTCATCCATCCGAATGCCCTCAGTCGAGATCACAAATCCTAAGAAAAGAATCAAATCCACCATAAAGAAGCATTTTTCTTGGATTGTAATATGTTATTTCATTCTTTTTATATCAACGTTATGTTATTTTAGAAAAAAGGAAAAAAACATTAGGAGCTCATTTGTTCTACATTTTATTGATATGTTTAATAATTTAATTTATTTATTTTGCTAAACTTAATCGGCAAAAAACATTCACCACCATGTGCATGCACGTTAGGGGTGAGCAACGATGCAGTTCGGTGAAAAACAACACAAAATGAAAAAGCGAACCTAGCAAAAAGAATAGAAAATCGAACCTAGCAAAAAAATAACCGAACCGCACTGCAACTTAGAAGAAACCAAGCCGAAATCGAATCAAAATTTTTTTATACTAAAAAATAAAAAACGAACTGAAATACACTATTTTGCTCGATTTTTGATTTTATCTCAATTTTTTTATACATTTTATTCAATTTGGCGCAGTTCGGTACAAAATCGCACTGAACCGGACAAACCGAGAACTAAACTTATGAAGAACTATAACCGCACCGCACCACCATAGCGTAGGAAAACAATCGAGCCAAAATTTTTTAAATTAAAAAAATCGAATCGAATCGCACCAAATCGCTTGGTTCGGCTCGATTTGCTCGTGCACTTTACACTAGTAAAATAAAATAACCGACCGGTGTGTGTCATTGTCAAGTCGAGAAATCCCATCACTCGGAGTCAGAGTCGAGAGAGCTTTGTTTCTCAAAACTGAAATTCCCACCAAAATTATATTGTACTCCTCACGCTACTCTTCTTCGTCTTCTTCGCACCCCCGAAATTTCTCTGATTCTCTCTCTCCTCCTCTCAGTTATAACTGTAACTGTAAGCTCTCATAAGGCCCCAAGATTCCTCGCCCCCTCATCTCTCTGAAAAAAGCAAAACCCCTCAAGAAAATCCAATGTTTGCCACAAAAATGCCGGAAAAACTCGTTCGATTTTCGCCGCCGTATCTCCTCTTTCTGATCACCATCTCCCTCATTTGTCTGCCCGGATCGATTTCTCTAAGGGGTGATGATCTTGCGCCGTTCTGCGTGCTTGACCGTATTCATTTGTTAATCCTGATTTTTTGCATGAGCTCCGTAATTAATCGCTTGTTCTTTTTCTTGTTTTGTTCTCTCTCTGTGCTTTTCAGGTCCGGCGTACTTGGGTTTCTTGTCGAACGCCACTGATTTTCCTCCAGTAGACTACTACGATTACATCATCGTCGGAGGCGGCACCGCCGGCTGCCCACTTGCGGCAACCCTGTCGGAGAAATTTAGGGTTCTTGTTCTCGAAAGAGGGGGGATTCCGTATGGCGACCCTAATCTGATGAACCCCAACGGATTTCTCACAACCCTAATGGAGGTCGACGATTTCAACTCCCCCGCTCAGGCCTTCACCTCCGAGGACGGCGTTCCCAACGCCCGCGGCAGGGTACTCGGCGGCAGCAGCGCCATTAACGCCGGTTTCTACAGCAGAGCCGACCAAGATTTCTACAAACGTTCAGGTATCAACTGGGATCTCGTAATGGTGAATCAGTCTTACGAGTGGGTAGAAAATGCAATTGTGTTCAGGCCTAATTTGAGGAACTGGCAATCTGCTGTTCGGGATGCATTATTAGAGGCTGGAATTGCTCCATACCATGGATTCAGTCTAGATCATGTTGTGGGCACTAAAATTGGGGGCTCAACCTTCGACAGCTCGAATACAAGGCATAGTGCAGCCGATCTTCTAAACTACGCAAACCCTTCGAACATTAAAGTCGTGGTACACGCCAGTGTGGAGCGGGTTCTGCTGACATCATCGTCTTCTTTGTCTAATTCAGGCAACAAGCTTTCGGCCAATGGGGTCGTCTTTCGTGATCAGACGGGCTTTTACCACCACGCCATGGTGAGAGATAAGGGCGAGGTCCTGCTGTGTGCCGGGGCCCTTGGGAGCTCGCAGCTTCTGTTGCTGAGCGGGCTCGGGCCCAGGCCCTATCTAGCCTCGTGGGGAATACCTGTGGCCCGCCACTCCCCATATGTCGGTCGGTTCATGTACGACAACCCAAGAAACGGGATCTCGATTTTGCCGAGAATGCCCTTGGAGCATTCCCTGATACAGGTCGTGGGCATCACAAGCTCCGGGTTTTATCTTGAAGCTGCCTCGAATATTGTCCCCTTCACTTCTCCAGCCCGGCCCGTATTCATCAGGGCACCGGGCTCTTCAACTTACCTCACTGTTGCAACTCTGATGGAGAAAATAGTCGGGCCCTTCTCTTCGGGTTCCCTTAGGCTCGCATCCACCAATGTCAGGGTGAATCCGATTGTCCGTTTTAACTACTTCAGAAACCCAATCGACCTTGAACGTTGCGTGAATGGGACCCGGAAAATTGCTAGTGTTCTCAGGGGCCGATCCATGAATAAATTCAGGTTCAGACAGTTGTTCGGAGCTAGGGAATTCAGGTTTGTCGGGCCTGTGTTGCCAAACGATGAGTCGGATGACGAGCGTATGAGGGAGTTCTGCAGGCGTACAGTGAGCACCATATGGCACTATCATGGGGGCTGCCTCGTAGGGAAGGTTGTGGACCGAGAGCTGAAGGTTATGGGGATTGATGCTCTCAGAGTTGTGGATGGCTCGACTTTTACGGTCTCGCCTGGGACTAATCCTCAGGCTACTCTTCTCATGCTGGGAAGGTAAGAATTCTCAGTATATTGATTACTGCAAAAACAACTTGGATTGAAGTATTGCAGATAGCCCATTGATCTTTGTATTTGTTATGAAAGTCATGTGTATAAGATAGTTGAGCATTTTTAGAGTGATCTGAAAGTAGTATGTCTAGTTGTATTATATGTTGTATATGTTTTATAAACGGTGGCCTGTTACATGTTTGCCTGACAGTTGGGTGGTATTTCGTTTGCAGGTATTTTGGTATGAAATTGCTTAGAGAACGAACATGATAGCGTGAGATGACTGCGCTAGCTTTGGAGGTAAAGGGTGAGCTAAAATTGCTGCAATCCCTTTGAGTGTTACTTTGTTCTTAGGTTGTTTAGTGTGTAGGATTTTCTGTGATTAGGCTGACTGATGAGTGTGAGCATTCATTCATTTGGAAATGGGTAGCTTAACGAAGTGACTGATTGAACCTGAGCCATTTGTTGTCTGTTTACGTGTTTTTAGAATAACTGACCATGAGTTGAGTTGCTTGGAGTGGGAAAAAGGAATGTCTGATTTCTGAAGTTTGTAAACTGCATCTGTACTCATTGAAGCAGTTATATTGATTGGAATGTCGATTGGCTAAATAGAATGCAAATAATCCATTTCTTTTGCCTGTTTTATTACTTTCAGAACCTTTTATTGTGGTTTTAGCATTTTGGGATATGCTCTCTTTAAAGTGTCTAAATGTGAAACCTCTGAAGTTGTGTTGAACATGAAGATTGAAATGCCAATACAGGTTGACATCACATTAGCTGTTTGCAAAAATTATCAAGAATTAGTGATTTCCAACATTTGCCAGCCTTTTTTTTTTCGTTCCTGTTTCATTAAACAAAGTCTAGTTGCTGCCTTGCTGGTGTGTAGGGGGTTCAAGATTTTGGAGAAGTAATTGGATAGTTGTACAAGTGTGAATATTGTTCATACTCATTGATTCTTATCCTTACTTTCCTTTTTTGTTAATTGCTCAAATGTGTTCAATTTTCTTTTTTCTCTGTTTTTTCACCTTTTATATAAAATTTACTAGATTTTGATTCTGACTCGACTTTCTTTCCCTACTGTTATGAGTCATTTGCAAAAACCGATGTTCAACAAGTAGGGTCAAAGTCAAACTAAAAGAAACAAGTAGGGTCAAAGTCAAACGGAAGGAAAGTCATGTAAAAAAAAAAATCCTTCATTTTTGATAGAATTGTAAAATACAAGAGTCGATAGTATTGCTCAAGAAATTTCCTTCATATTTAGTAGTATTTCTTAAAAGTTTTCCCTTCATTTAATGTATTACTTTAAATTCAAAATAGACAAAAAAAGAAAAAAAAGAAACGCATAGCCCACAGCATAAACTATACCTATAGCCCACAATAATGAACTAATTTTGCAAAAACCAACTCTAATCATCCTAACAAAATTCAGAAAAAATTAAATATCTCCACATTTACCTGTTCAGTCACGAATAGGGGCCGCCGCTGGTGGCAGCATGACCAACATGCTGAGGCGGGTACCTATAAAATTTCAACTCAATCAAAGTTCAATTTCCCATTCAATTTTCGGTAACAAGTTGATGTGATGTTTTCTTTTTAGGCTAATTTCGACATCATCCAGCTTCTATTTTAATCGAATAACCTAATCATTAGCCTTGTTTCTTAAGATTCTACCTTTATAATTTTGTCTCAATCTAAATTTACTTACTTTTTAAATTTTCTAATAAAAAGTTCTACGCACTGTTCAGCTTGGGAACTGTAATTTGCCACGTAATCAAATTTTCTTGAGAAGGCGATTAATGTACCTTTTTTATGAAATTTTCAAATTATTATTGTGAGTTTTTTTTTTCGAAATAACAATAATATTATAACTTAAGACTTAATAAAGTACAATCGAGATGTCAACTGACAAAAGGGAACCAGAACAAAGTCTGGACCAACCCCCTTGAATCGACACAGGCGTTCATTAGACTTGTTTCTTCGAGAAGATCCTACTCTTATAATTTCGTCTCAATCTAAGTTTGCTTACTTTTTAAATTTTCCAATGAAAAGTTATACGCACTGTTGGCTCATATTCAGTTTGGGAACTGTAATTTGCCACGTAATCAAGTTTTCCTGAGAGGGCGATTAATGTACATTTTCTATAAATTTTTCAAATTATTTTT